AAAAAAAAAAAAAAAAAAAAAAAAAAAAAAAAAAGCATCACTTGAACCATTTCAGATAAGCATCCAGACACCTGGGTTAATTCTTATGTGACACATGGACATGATAATTTACTTTTCAATATGAGGGCTTTGTTTTCAGCCTTAATCAATAATACTGATCCTCTTTCTAGACAAATTTGGGTAGTAACCAGTGTTAACTGGAATATCCAAAAACCAAAGGAATAATTTTTGTTAGCCTCATCCTGGGGATTATCCTACATACAAGAAAACAAAATACTCTCAGCGGAGGTGGCCCATGCATTTAATCTCAACACTTGGGAGGCAGAGGCAGTTGGACCTCTGAGTTTGAGGCCAGTCTGTTCTACAGATCGAGTTCCAGAACAGCCAAGGCTACACAGAAAAACCTTGTCTCAAAAACCAAAAACAATGAAAAATAAAAACATTAACAGCATTTCTTAGTCACTGTTCTATTGCTGTAAAGAGACCTTACAACCAAGGCAACTCTTATAAAGGAAAGCATTTAACTGGGGCCTGCTTGCATTTTCAGAGGTTAGCCCATTATCATGGCAGAGAGCAGGGTGGCACACAGGCAGGTGCTGGAGCAGTACAATTACATCCTAATCAATTTGTAGGCAGAGAAAGACTGGGCCTGGCATGAGCTTGTGAAATGTCAAAGCCCACTCCCAGTAACACACTCCCTTCAAAAAGGCCATGTGTGTTCCAACATCTCTAATCCTTCTCACACAGTGCCACTCCTTCGTGACCAAGCGTTCAAATATATGGGCCTATAGGACCATTCATATTCAAACTGCCACGTAGCTTATACTAATGCTTTGAAACTACAGACACATGGTCTTAATACCTATATTCTAGACTTAACTATAAGCTCATTTTATTAACAAGGAAAAGTAGGTCACCCCATAAGTATATAGAGTAAGTAAAATGACTAGTAAATTCAAGAAAAACATAGAATTCTGTTGTAACCTTACCTTACACTTTGGTTTGCTCCCTGTCTGTATTTCAGACATTGTTGATATGATAAACATTAGTGACTATAATGTCATACCATTTCCCTTTTAATTTATTCCATCTTAGATTTTCCCCTCCACATTGTTCTTTTTTTTGTTTTGCCAGAGCATCAACATGTGACTAGCCGTGTGTTCTTATTGTAGTTCATGAGACAAACTGTACAAACTGGATTGTCTTTTGATATACTGATACTCACAGTGGAGAACTGCCACTAAGGGTAAAACAATGTGTACTTACATCTGGACAATGCATCCTAATCTCTCCAGGATTCCTATAGTCAACAAGATGTGAGCTTTTGCCCTGAGTTTTAGTGATTTACTAACATCCCAATGCTCAGGTACCCTTGCTTGGGCCACTAACTTTAGGATTGGGATAACAATTTGTTGCATAATGTACTGTCTATGTGGTGTGATGCCCCATTTAATGATACCCCTGAGCCACCCTAAATGATGACCCTCTAAACCCCCAGCTCCAGAGATCTTTCAATGTGTCCTAAGTCCAGACAAGTTGAGACTTTTGATCCCTAGAAAGGCAGGGCCTTGCCCTCTATTCTGCTATGAAGAAGTTCTAGAAGTTCTAGAAGATAGATACTCAGTCTTTTGCAGCCCTTAAGATTAAGGGCCTGGGGCCTGGAGAGGTGTCTCAGCACTACGAGTACTTGTTGCCCTGGAGGAGCTGGTTCAGGCCCCAGCACACACAGGGCAGGCTACAACCCTCTGCAACTCCAGTTCTAGCCCAGTTCTAGGGGATCTGAGTCCCTCCTCCAGCCTGTGTGGCACTGTACGCATGAGGCACACACATAAATGCAGGCAAAATACCCATATACATTGAACTAAAAACTCTAGATTAAGGGATTGAAATCTCAACCAGGGAATTTGAGGCAGGAGAGAAAGATAGAGAATGATGGTGAAATGGAGAGAAAAGGGTGAGAGAGAGGAGAATTTCCTCCAGTCTGCCTGCTTTTAGTGCTGAGAAAGGCGGGAGACTTCAAACTTTACTGATGAAGCCTAGTGGTCAAAAAGGCAATGTGTGTCTGCCGAAAGGTATCTGGAGTAGTGCTCACACGGGGAAGATGGTGCGTTCCCAGAGGCGCATCATCAAGAGTGCTCCAGTCCTGCAATTAGGCTGAGCTCCTGGTGCTACAGTGACGTAAGCCCTTCCGTTCCTAACACCTCTCCTAACACTGAAATGATGTCCTCTAGAAAACCTTCTATTTTTACTGAGAGAAAAAAAAAAACCCTTCAACTTTTAACCTTTTAACAGTTATACTCTTTGGGCAATTTAAAAAGAACAGCAGGCTTCTTATCAAACTTTGGATATGTAGCCACACTGTAAAGACACCCTCTCTTCTGTGTCTCTCTCTTGTCCTATAGGATGTGGGTTTTATGCTGTGCACTCTCTCTTGCTCTCCCTTTCTCAATCTCTCTCTGCACCTTTGTATCTGCAGTTAATAAATCCAATACAATGTTGCCTCAAAAACAAAAAAAAAGAATGTTTCAAAAAAAATAATTCCTGAAGCTGACTTGCAGTTTGATCACTGATATGCTACAGATGTGTGTGTGTGCGCGAGTGTACGCGCACACTTGAACACATGTGCTTATGTGACACTGGAGAACAAAGTCTGGGCTTCAGCCATGCATCACTGAATGTGTCATCATTTTTTCCCTTGAGTCCAGTTGGCCTAGAATTCACTCTGTAGCACATACTGGCCTCAAGCTTGTGGCAATCCTCCTGCCTCTGCTTTCCAAGGAGTACAGACCTGTGCTGCCAAGGCTGACTTACTTAAATCTGAATGTGAGAGGCAAACAATTGCAAGCACTAAGTTCCAAAGTCTAGGCAGCAAAGCTTTTTGTTGGTACTCACTTTTTTTTTTATTCAGACTGCACTTTGTTTAATTCAGAACATACAGAAATAAAAGTTTCAGAAGTTTTCTTTGTTTTTTTGTTTTAGGTTTGGGAATTTTTTTTGCTTTTGTTTTTGGTTGTTTTGTTTTGCTTTGTTTTGAGACAGGGTTTTTCTGTGTAGCCTTGGCTGTCTTGGAACTCACAGAGATACACCTGCCTCTGCCTCCTGAGCACTGAGATTAAAGGCATATGCTGCCACCACCCAGCAAGTTAATATTTCTTTAGGCCTGATAATGGAAAATGTTCAAGTAAAAAACAAAGGGAAATGATTGGTTGAACTGTGGTAGTTTTGTCTTTTAGACGGAATAATGATGACAGTAATCAAAGGTCCAAATTAAAAATTTTCAGACTGTACCAGACTAAAAAACATTGAGAAGCCTATTTTAGGTTCAGTCAATATGTTATATGAAGAAATATTCAGAGTTTTCAAGAGAACCTAGAGATTAAAGTGTATACACAGCATACCCTATTTTTAAACTAAAAAGAGAGAGAGAGAGAGAGAATTGGGAAACTCATTTAGAAAGACTTCATAGCCCAAAAGTTACCATTTATCTCTTCTGTAGACTATTTTGTGATATAAAAAAGATGATATACTTTTGAATGGAAAATATGGAATTAAAACAGTACATATACATAGTGTGATCCAAATTTTATTAAAAAATTTTTTTTCAAAAAGATATGGGGCTAGTTGTGGCTCTATGCATGATGCCCTCAGTTTGATCCCCAGTACTAAAGAAAAGAGGATAAGAAAGGGTGGGAGAAGGTGGAAGGAGAAAGTGAAAAAGATAACATTTTAAGACTAGATGAAAAAAGCTAGAGAGATGGTTTGCTGGTTAAGAGCACTGGCTGCTCTATCAGAGGACCTAGGTTCAATTCCCAGCCCCTACATGGTACATCACCACCTTTTGCAACTCCAATCCCAGGGGATTTAACACCCTCTTCTGGCCAACTTGGATATGAATTCATATACAGACATACGTGCAGGTAAAAACCCATACACACAGAATTAAATAGTAATAACAACAACAACAATAGAAAAAGTCTAGAACAGGAAATGTTGATTATTGTCTGTATGTGTATCTTAAGGAATATTTTTAAAAGACTATAATGAACATCTTATTTTTGTAATGATAAGAAAAAATAAAATATTCCTTGAAATCAAATTAAAGATTTCCATTTCTAATAACAGTGGACTTGCTGGGAGCATAGTCCTTTCACCAAGAACAACTAGAAGTTTGAAAGCTACTAGAAATCTATGTGGAGGCATCAAAGTTACAGATTTAATGAAGATCTGTGATGTCAAGATCTCAAAAGAGATGGGAAGGATGGGATGTATAAATAAATCCAGCAACATTTGTTATTTTTTAAAGGTTCATTTACTTATTTTTATGAATGCTCTATTTGCATGTACACCTGCAAGCCAGAAGAGGGCATGAGATCACATTATAGATGGTTATAAGCCACCATGTGGTTGCTGGGAATTGAACTCAGGACCTCTGGAAGAGCAGCCAGTGCTCTTAACCACTGAGCCACCTCTCTGGCCTATAACACTTATCTTTTATGAACTCTGGTTAGTTCTAAATTGGCCAGGGAGTCACCAAAAACTAAGTATAGCCTGTTGGAGTCATATGGGCTTGATGGATAGACATTAGAGGCTATCAGTGAGAAGTCCTGGAGGGATAACTTAGCAAGGAAGGCAAAGCGGAAATCCACCTGCTCTCAGAACAGCTGGGGACCAGCTTAACATGACTGATATCGTTGGCAGGAGCCAATCCATTTGCTTATGTCTCATGTGCCTGCCAAACAAAAATAAATCTTCTGTGGAAAATGGCAAATGATCTAGAACCTCAAATTATCTTTATATCATTTTTATTCATAGTAGCCAGAATTCAATGTGATATGATCAATCATGTAAGAGAAAAGAGCATTAGACCAAAAATCAGCTGTCAGGAGAAAAACCTGTGAGAATTCTTAGATCTAGGCTTTAAAATAACTGCTATCAATGTGCACTGAAATTGATAAATTTTAACCAAAAATTTAAAATGCTAAAATTAAAATACAAATTCTAGAAAAGAACACAACAACTGAAATTAAGAACTAAGTAGATAAATTTAGTAAATGATTAGATATGGCTGCAGAAAGATTAGTAAGAAATTTTCTCCAAAATATAGAAAATAGAATTGTTTACCTGTGATACAATGAAACTGTCTGCATAGATATATATTATTGAAGCCATACAAGAAATGAACAATAACAAAACAAAAAAACGAAGAGCTGTGAGTAGTGATCCCAGTACTTGGGAAGGCAGAGGCAGGTGGATCTCTGTGAGTTTAAGGACAGCCTGCTCTACAAAGGGAGTCCAGGACAGCCAAGGCTACACAGAGAAACCCTGTCTCAAAAAAACAAAAAGAAAAAAAGAAAGAAAGAAAACCGTCAACAACCAAAAGAACTTCAAATATAGATGACACAAGCTATATCATAACATCTAAAGTACTATTAAAAATATGCAAAGATGGAATTTCAAAAAAATCAATGAAAAAAGAATACAAGAAAGGAAAGAAGATGGAATTCTGGTCATTTGAGACAAATGAAAAACAAGCAGTCAGATGGTGGCTGTTGGTCTGAGTATGGTGGTGCATGCCTTTAACCCCAGCAGTTGCGTGGCTAAGGCAGGACACTTATGCATTTGAGGTCATCTTGGGCTATGCAGCAAGTTTGAGGCCAGCCTGTACAACATAGCAAGAGTACATCTCAAAAGCCAAGGACTCTGGTTATAGCTCAGTGGCAGAGCACTTGGCTAAAATGCACAAGGCTCTGGTTTAATTCTCTCTCTCTCTTTTTTTTTGGGGGGTGGGGGAGTTGGATTTTGTTTATTTGTTTGTTTGGTTTTGGTTTGTTTTTTTGAGACAGGATTTCTCTGTGTAGCCTTGGCTGTTCTGGACTCACTCTGTAGACCAGGCTGTCCTTGAACTCACAGAGATCCACCTGCCCCTGCCTCCACAGATGCTGGAATTACAGGTGTGTGCCACCGCACCTAGCTCCCTGGGTTTAACTCTTACTACTGTAAAATCATAATAACAATTATGTTGTGAAAATTTTAAATGCACCATTATATTTTTATATGCTATTTGTGGTTTGATTAACTTTCTATAAAACAATTTAGCAACAAACATTAACAGAAATTTATAGTTAAGTATTTTCTACCACCGTTGGCAGGAGAAAGACAGAAAAATATTTTTAAAACAAGCAATGTGGAATGAGAACATAAATACCTTGTGAGCCAGATGGAACAGCAGGCGGTTTTGGAGCCGGCTTTTTGGAGCTGAAAAAAAACAACAAAAAGAACCATATTGCTTGATAAAGAATTCAATAATAGGCTGGAGAGGTGGCTCAGTGGTTAAGAGCACTTGTTGCTCCTGCAGAGGACTGAGGTTCAGCTCCAAGCCCTGACACACATAGAATAAGATAAGGGGAAAACTTCAATAGCTATGAAAGTTAGTTCTCAGCGGGATAAAATCAGACTCGGGTGGACTGCCACAGTCCTTACCTAACTGTATGTGTGTGAAGGTCCCCGCCTGCAGGAGCAGCAGGAGAGCCAGGGGAGAGCTCTTCTAAGCTCCTGCTCTCCACCCCCACTTCTACCTGCTATTGCCATCGGGTCCCACACAGTGTGGCCTGCCTCTGTGCTGACCGCATACTGAACCAAACACTGCTAAAAGACAGTGTTTCACCTCAGAACACACATGGATCCACCCACATTGTGCCATTCACCTCAGTGGTCTTTCTCATTTGCTCCTGAAATCGCCTTTTCTAGAATTATACTCCCACATTTTCTGAGTTCCAGAATTCTACTGTCGTGTTTTCTTCGATACTAATCCACTCTATTCCAGGGATCTTCTACCACAATGAAGTACCACCCTAAACAGGCATCCAAGAAAAAGGCTAACATCTTTCAAGTTCCAGTTTTCTTTGTAGTCTTGTGGGTTCCATACTAATGGGAACAGGGACTGCCTCTCACACGAACTGATTGGCCTGCTCTTTGATCACCATCCCCTGAGGGGAGAGCAGCCCTACCGGGCCACAGAAGATGACAATGCAGCCACTCTTGATGAGATCTGATAGATTAGGATCAGAAGGAAGGAGAAGAAGACCTCCCCTATCAGCGGACTTGGGGAGGGGCATTCATGGAGGAGGGGGAGGGAAGGTAGGATTAGGAGGGGAGGAGGGAGAGGTTTATGGGGGGATACAAAGTGAATAAAGTGTAATTAATGAAGATTAAAAAAAAGAAAAAAAGGGAAGTTTTAGTTAAGTTATGTAAGTATGTTTTTGTTGTAATCCCAAGCGTGAGATGAGGGAACCAGCTGATAGCAGCCTCCTGAGAGGGCTTGTGCTCCTTGTCAGCTGAAAACTACCTTGTGCCGGGGGTGTGGCTTTTGCCAGCTAAAAAAAACCATCCTGGTGTGGACTCTCAAAAGGTGTGAGACAGAAAGAGAGACAGACAGACAGACAGAGAGAGAGACACAGGGAGAACACTTTGCTTCAAGATTCTCCTAGAGAGAAACGCTTCGGAGAACGTTCCAAGGAGGTTGCTGCTGCCCCTGCTGCTGCTGGTCCTTGTTGCTGCTTTTGCTACTGGTCCTTGTACTGCTGGTTTGCTGGACTGTTGGATATCCTGAAAACAAGAGTTCAATTGTCCCAAGGAACTACATCTAAAGAGGTCTATCTACCCTGTTCCTACTAACCTTTCTCTCCTAACTAGGATTGGGGGGTTGGAAGGGAGGTAGAAGCTTAAGGAACCCCAAATAAAGAAGGTTAAAAAAATTAAAGCCTACAGTAGTCTTGTCAATTTTCCAACTTTGGACAACCTATTCAACATCTCTTTTACAGAACAAATCATACTTCAAGGCGTGAAAAATGAAAAATAAAGGATGTAAGTACGGAAATGTTGGCTACCGTGACCATCCCTTATGTGACTATCAGTCTTCTCAGTACAAACTCTTAGAAACATGAGACTGTTAGTATCTTAAAGGACTTGGTGATTACATTTGGAAAACTTACACTCACATATATGAAAAAAAAAAGGGGGGGTACAAATTAAGAGTGGTTTCAAGTTCCCCATTTTCCTTGAAAAATGGGGAAAGTTTTATACATACAAGTATAAATTCTACCCTGAAAATAATTTTTCTTAACAATTTCTTTTGGTGGTGGTGGGAACAAGTTCTCTCCATGTAGCTCTGGCTATCCTGGCACTCCCTCTGTAGACCAGGCAGGCCTTGAACTCAGAGATCCACCTGGCCCTGCCTCCAGAGTACTGGGGCTAAAGGTGTGCACCACCACACCCAGCTTCCTAACAATGTCTTAATCAAGATTCCCTTGCCCACTTTCTTTATATTTCCATAAGTTTCATTTGATTTGTATTCTAATTATCTTTCATCTTTTCTCCCATGTTTCTTTTTCCTCCCTCTCTCCCTTACAAGTTTGAAAACAACTCTTCTGTTGTGACTCTGCCAAGAAGGTCAAAGAGTAATCTGCTAGACTCTTCAGGTGGTGATCTTTAGGCTGGCTTCTCAGGCTTCTCACTGAGCAGTAAACCTCCCAGCAGAGTAGCTAGAGCAGAAGGCCAGCTGCGGTGCCTTTTAAACACATCTTGCCCCATCTTCTTCCAGCAAGGGTCTACTTTCATACTACTGAGGTGTTTGAACAGCAAAGTTACTTTTCAGCTCTCATGTCTGTTGGTGGGGTTGAGGTTTAATTCTGTGGTACAATACTTGTCCAGCAAGCATTGGGCCTTCGACTAAATCGCCAACACCCAGAAAAAAAAAAAAACACAGAGATTGTCAGACTGGATTTAAGAGTAAAAGAAAGCTTCAGCTGTAAGATGAATACCTATAAGTCACATACTTTAGAAGCAAAGATAAACACAAGTACAAAGCAAATATTAATCATAAGAAAGAGTAGGAGTTATAACAACGGAGAGATATTAAGCCAAAAATGATAGATAAAAAGCCCATTTTACCTTTAAATCCAGCAGCTTCTGCTTGTTTATACATCCCAAGAAAAAAGTAGGTGCAGGCCAAGTTTACCCACACTTCTGGATTGCAGTTTTCCTCCTTCGTTGCATTTTCATATTCCTGAAACAGACATTAAGAGACTGTCCTACTTGACAGTAAAGCAACTGCCCATTTTCTGGGATGGAAGAGGTCTCACTGGTAGAGCAGCTTACACTTTGGGATCCTACATCTCCTTATCTGCTCTCTACCAAAAGAGGTTAAGCTCATGTGTAAATCTACCCAGACAGGGCTCTTGAACATACAATTTATACTTTGTTTCCTCTCATTTTTAATATGTCTTAGAAACCTTCAGAAATTGAAACAACTGAAATATATTTTACTAGCTGGCGGTAGTGGCACACACCTTCAATCCCAGCACTTGGAAGGCAGAGACAGGCAGATTTCTGTGAGTTTTCAGGCCAGCCTGGTCTACAAAGCGAGTCCAGGACAGCCAGGACCACACAGAGAAACCCTGTCTCAAAAAAACGAAAACAAAACAAAGAAACAAAAAAAGAAATAGATTTTGCTTACTTAAAAAGACATACACTGGCTTTTCTTGCAGAGGACCCAGGTTCGATTCCCAGCACTTACATGATGGCTTATAATTATCCGTAACTCCAGTTCTAAAAAATCCAATGTCCTCTTGGTCTCTGCAGGTACCAAGCAGCACCTGGTTCACATACACACATACACACTCATACCCCTAAAATAAATAAATCTAACAAACATTTTTAAATAATAGGAAATGCAGAGGTATAGCTCAATGACAGAATATTCTCCTGGCATGTACCAGACCCTGAGTCTGAGTGCAGTCTCATGCTAACGGTAACATGTTATAGATATCGTTGTATATGTGTAAAAGTAAAGAACAAGTAAGATACACATTCACATGCAACATCATAGATAGAGTCTTTCTCCTTTTTATTTTATTTTTTTCTCCTTTTTATAAAGTTATTTTTTGGATTGTATTTAAACTCATTTTATAACACTAACTTCCATTATACATAAATACTATCAAATGTGTTAAATACTCAGACATTACATTGGAGTGCTATACATGCTCATAGTTTTGTGGATTTTATACAAGTGTTTTAGTTTAAATATTATATAGCAAAGTGAGAAGTATTTGCCATTTATGTATGTATGTATTTATTGTTTTATTTTTTTGTTGTTTGTTTTTTAGGCAAGGTTTCTCTTTGTAGACCTGGCTGTCCTAGAACTCAATGTGTAGATCAGGCTGGCTCTGAACTCAAGAGATCTGCCTGCCTCTGCCTCCCTAGTGCTGGGATTAATACCACCACTGCCCAGCTATCTCATTTTTCTAAATTAGCTTACAAACTAGCAGGCTTCCCTAGAGTATCTTCATTGTTTTAAATGACCCTCCCTCATCTCACCCTCTAGCCTATCTTCTGACTCCCCACTGCATACCCCTCCAAACACTCCCACCCCATATCTATTTCCCCTTTCACTTTCACACGAAGCAGTATAAAGTAGAAAAGCCAATTATTAGACACTGACATATTTACTGCTTCAGTGATTTACAGAAAGCGCTGCCTACACTGCCTATCTGCCAAGCATGACTGCACCTGATCAGCTGAAACAATGGGCTGTTGCCCATAACAACCTGCTGCCTGCCACTGACTGCCATTGCAGCTTCCGCAAAATCTTGTTAGCTTGACTCAACCACTTTATAGTTTTAGAGTACAAAACGTGAATGAAAACTGGACCTGGGTTCAAAGCCTTTCAGGAGCTATCTCGGCTTCAGTCCACCATTGACAGCTCCTCTCTTCCACCCCCACTGGTGTCAGAGCGCTCATCTAAAAAAATTCCCACAACAGTATTACATGTATTCAGTTACAACCCCCACCCCTCTCTGAATCAGTACATTCAGGGTCCATGGATGCTTTTATTAAAAGACATAGGACTGGGGAAGGCAGATAGGACAATTTCTTTCTTTCTACTTTGCTTCCTCCTCCATTGTTCAGCTGTTACCATGAGTGTATACCATACAGTCATTTTAAATACCAGTTTGATTTTTTCCACTAACCTCCAAAGCTCTCTTGTAGTCACCCAGGTGAAAAGCACAGTATCCAATCCACAAGTTTGTATCATCTTCTTGCTCCCCAACATGGCGTTTGAACTTTATATTAAAATTTCATGAAAAAAAATCATAAAAAGATTTTAATAATAAATGCTTTGTCTTTAATTTGTAAAGCTATGCTGAGTTACTGTAAACAAGCAGGATACTAAGCATTAGAAGCTGTACAATATGTAGTCCATGTAAATCTGCACTGTCCAGGGTCAGCACGGCCACCTTCTATTGTCATAGTTCATTTTTTTCAGACATTCTGCATATATTTTTCTGTGTTTGCTAGCACCTTACTCCAGAAAGTGTATGAGTTATCTAATAATTCTGGAAGAAGTATAAAAATTATGTAAAACATTTAAACCCAAATACCTGAAAGTTAGAGGCCAACCAATGATTCTAAGATTCCACAGGGAGTCCATGTGTTAGCAGGAACTTAAACTCATGTCTGCCTCCAAAGCCCAGGTTCCCACCACTGCTCTGCTGCACCCAGTCTCATACTTCCCTGTTATCCTGTTAGCATACATGTCTATTTATTAATAGTTCATAATCCTTCTCTGAAGACGAGCCATGAAAACATTCTATTACTCCAATCAGGCTTACAGACTAGAAGAGTTAAAGATGTACAGAAGATAGTCTTATTTGTGTACACAGGTTTAAGAAGTCCTCGGCTGAGCAAAAATCTGTTTTATTTCAGAGGAAAGGGCTGGGAAGAATTCTCAATTAGCACGTGTCTTAGTTTCATTTCCAGCGCTGTGATAAAGACCCTGCCCCAAACAACTCAGGCAGCTGGGCACAGTGCTAGATGCCTAGTGGGGTGAGGTGCTGTACATCCGTATTCCCAGCACTTGGGGGGCAGAGGCGGGTAGATCTCTTGAGTTTGAGGCCAGCCTGGTCTACAGAGTGAGTTATAAGACAGAGAAACCCTATCTCTAAAAACAAACAACAACAAAAATAGACATGTACACATGTACATAGTATGGACAGTTTCACACTGTCTATATGACTATATATTCACTATACATACATACAACACACACACATATATATATATGTCTATATGACTATAGATTCACATTAATGTGGCCAGTGGAAAAACACAATACAATAGATTGCAGCACAGTGCAATGAGACCATGCTGTCAGAATGCTTTATCCATTGGCACACACTGCCCTCTTCTCCACCATGTGCTTTTCACAGCAGTTTCTCAAACTTCAGTCTCCAGGGACAGTTTATGTCAGAAGGGCTTCTTGGACTTACCCAAAATGCAGCTTCCTGAGCACCACTGCTGACCTAGCGAATTCAAATTGGTAAAGCAGTAGCCTAGGAATATAAACATCTCAGGAACTATCCTTGGCACCCCCGATGCATTCCTAGGCTGGGGTGTAGGCTGGCACAGTGCTTACTTGAGGATCTGAGTTTGACCCCCTCTGTGGTTCCAAAAAGAGCTGACACTACCATGCAGGGTTGAAATGTTTTAAGGGTTTGTAATATTTTTAAAATAAACATGGTACAATCACTTAATTTTTTTTTTTTTACCAAAATGCTGTAATAGAAAGAAGTTACAAATCACTCAGGAATTATGATAAACAATGTGCGAACTGACACCGTTTTACATGTAATGCTGTGTTTTTAGGTTAGATTCACCATCTGTGGGGCTAGAAGAAAATTTAATTTTACGTATATGAGTGTTTTGTCTTCATGTATGTCTATGTACCATACCTGCTGAAGGAGGCCAGAAGGCGGCCTTGGATTCCCTGACACTTGAGTTACTAATGGTTGTGGACAGGCACGTGAATGCTCAGAATCAAGGTTCCCTGGAGGTGCAGCCAGTGCTCTTAACTGTCAAGCCATCTCTCAGGTCCAATTTTTTTTTATATATTTTATCAGGTTTATAATTAACATGGAGTCTGAAATATGTGTCTAGCTATATTTATTTGGATTCCCTAGAATGTGCCCACCTGTACCAATAGCATAGTAACCAGCATTCACCCCACCATTCACCGGACAGTGAAGTAAACCTTCTTTGGACAGTACCTCCAATAGGGTAATGGCGCCAGTGAAATCTCTTTGAGAAAGTAGATCCTCTAGTTTTGGAATCTTCCTACCTTTCTTCTTTCTTTTGTCAGTATGAGGTGGTTCCCCGCCTACAGCGGGTTTGGCCCTTGAGAGCATCTGTAAAACAAACACCAAAGATGGTTCAACTCCAAAGTCATTTTTAAATTTGTTATTTACAAGTCAAATCCTTACCAACGAACCCTAGGAAGTCTATCGAGATTCCTTTTTTAACAGGCATTTTACTAAAACGGCCAGCCATCACCTTCTACTGAAGGAGAACCAAACAGGTACTTCCAACAACTTTATCCACAAGAGATGAACATGCAGCTTCTGCCATCTCGGTCTTTCCTGGCTCCCCACCCCCATCCCCAAATCTACCAAGCAGATTTGGTGTCGGGAAGTGGAGAAACATCGAAGTATTTTTGTCTTTGCATCCCTCCCTATTCCCCGTGGAAACACTGGAGGGATAAAGGGATCGCTCTCTAGAGACACACCTAGATTCTATCCAATAGTGTATCCTGAGCTCTCAACCCGGTGCAAACCTATTCGAAGCCCCCAACTCCGCCCTTTTACTATTCAGAGCACTAACCATCTTGGCGTTGGTCCTGTGAGCCTCTGTCGCAGATAGTCTGCAAACGCTGTACCTCGGCGAGTTGCCACATCTAAATAGCGAGCTCCGTCACCACGGCAACGCCGCCTGGAGGCTGGTCCTTTGAGAGAAGAGCTCGCCGGAGAACCAGTGCCCTCAGCTTCTTGGTTCCGTGGGTTTCCGCAGCTGAAAGAATAGATGTTTTCTCAAGAGAGCAGATCCATGTTGTTTGTGCTGGGACGAAAATGTGGTTGTGTCTCTACTTAAGAATGTAGTTTAGGAAAAGGCGACTTAAAATTACTCTTACAAGTAGGAAGTATATTTCGAATGCAAGTTTCTTGGGAAGGTAATTTTCAAGGACCACTTCCGTTTTGTCTAGGTTGAGTTCCACAGCAGTCCTGCTGTGTGGCACTCTGTCGGTTTTCCGCCGTTGTCTGCTGGAGGCAGAAGTGACACCAAAACATTTCCAACATACACTGTTAATCCCAAAGATGGGAGCAGAAAGACCACCATCCCAAATAATCATGACCAAATTAATTAAAGCAAGCTTTTTTGTTCGTGTATGAGGGCTGCCTCCTTAGGCTAGGTTGGAGAGGTAAGCTTTGAATCTGAGGAACACAAGGTTTTTATAGAGCTCAGGGGTAGTGGCTTCCAAATGGGGGAAAATAAGATGGATTATAGGAGCAGAATATAAACTTAACAAGTAGTAACAGGTATTTTTTAAAAATTAAAGAGAATTCACACCTGCTACTGTAAATCTGGCTAGAAACGAGACTGGGAAGTTCATAAGCTCTAGGAAAGAATCAACTACTATTATGTTGATCCTCCTCCCAAGGTTCCAGCCGAAGGTGAGGACAGGGCCTCCAAGCCCAGGGGTTGAGAAGTGCCCAGGAATCGGGTGATTGCAAAGTGAGAGCAAGCAGATGCAGACTTATTTCCTGAGGAGAGAAAATGTTATTTAGCTTTCAGGTTCCACAACACCATCTCCAAGCTGCCATTGGTTGTTGGTCTCCGGGCAGGCTCCCCAATGTCAGGACAGAACATGAACTGTCTTTTAAATACTTCTCTTTAAACCCACAGACCAGCGCACCTCTCAGTCCTCATTAGTGAAGCTCCTTATTGCAGCGGGTGGTGATTGATGCAGTGACTCACAACTCATCATAGTGTAGAGAATGAGTGACTGTGGAGTGCTCATTCCTTCGTGGACATCTGTATCACACACCCACTCCCACCACACACACACAGTTACAGGAATATTATGGAAGAGGTGTAGAAAGTTTCAAAGAGCCAGATGTCAGGAAGGACTGCTGTTAATCAGTGTCTTCTGGATATGACAGGCCCATTGTACTCATGGACTCACAGCATTGGCAGTTGCCTGCCCTTATATCTAGACAAGATGTAAGTCAGTGAACGTATCAGCATGGATAGGGGAGGGCCACATAAGGCCCCAATCATGTCTAAAAAACTGCTGACAGTTGATGGCTGCTAGGGAACATGTGGTTCCTGCTAAGTAGCCCATGCTCCAATGGATGGTTCCACACTTATGTGCATATAGGCACCACTAATTAGATTCAGCAGGCTTAACAAATACAAACAGTTGGAAGTACATGTTCCAGGGGATTCCAGGAGAAGTTGGAGAGAGGAATGGGGAAAATATCATAATATATGATCATAATCTATGACAATCTCAAAGAAAAAGTAAAACAACAAAAATAAATATGGACATAAATAGTTGTATAACTATAGATATATACCTGCCATTTTCATTAAAAGAAACTAAGATATTGGGAGGCTGGGGTGGGAGGATTTCTGTGAGACAAGCCTGGGCTCCACAGTGAGTTCTAGGCCAACTGGGTCTATACAGTGAGACCCTAAATCAAAAGAGAAGGAGGAGGAGGAAGAGAGAGGAGGAGGGAAAAAACCCTTTAATTGCATGGAGAAAAAGCTGTTCTAGAGTTGAAGCAGGGAAAGATAACTCCTGGAGCCTACAGGAAAACCAAAATTTTCCAAAACCAAAGACTGTAGTTCTTGAGTGGTGAGGACTGAAAGAAAATTAATAAACCAACACACTACACATGGAATCTGATCAAGAGGGCTTCCAGTAGAAAACTAGTCACTCTGATTTATTCCAATAACCCCTTGTCAAGTCAGAGCAAAAGCACTTCAGTACAATGAATGGATTCATGAAGAAGTCAAACTTGTTTACCTTGACCACCTGTCTGTGCGATCCTCACACAAACAAAAGGTGTGAACTTGACAAGACATCCCATCTTGCTGTCTCAAACAAAAGGAGGTAGACTTGGCAAACATCCTGCTTATCACTGACTCCAGGTGAAGACCAACGTGAAAACATGTTTTTTCTGCTGAGAGCTAAATGAAAAGAGCAGTCTGACAAACCAGCAGTGCTCCACATGTCTCCCTTTTTTATATTTTAAAAACTGACCATAGCTTAAGGAGCAGAAGATTGTGCCTGTCTTAGGTTGTCTCTCTTGAAAGATATATTCTTAACCATCATTGGTACATGAATTCCATTATTTATGCCCTGTCTTAGGTTGAATATTTTTCAGAGAGATTTTACCTCCCTTTGACTACCAATCTCCTCTAGGGAAGACTCTGGGGTTTAATCTTATGCAGATCAGCTGTAACATTCTAAAAGGCCTTGTTGACGGTTTTAAATATAACTGGCAGGAGACATGATCCTAATAAGAGTAATAAGCCAAGTCCTATAGCACTCCATAAAAGTGACTTAAAAGATGACCCCTTATCCAAATACCAAGCCTGAGAAACATTCACAGGAACCATAATAAAAGGCTGTTGAACAATCAGAACATATTAGCCATTTGAAAGCTTAGAAATACAGTTTGTTAGTTTACATTGATGGCAAAAAACATTAAAGTTTGAATCTTGTATAAAAAACATTGACATTTCCAAACAACAAAGTTGTCCATTTGAAAGCTTAGAAATACAGTTTTAGTTTACACTGATGGCAAGAAACATTAAAGTTTGAATCTTGTATAAAAACTTTAATATTTCCAAACAACAAAGCATAAGGAGAATTTACACAGGTAGTTACAGAGCCTCCCAAGAGTTTCTGTGGCAAGCTTCCAAATATAGGTCTGCTGAAAACCAGAATCAAACCAAAGTCCCATTGTTAGTCCTCTTTTTCATTCTTCCTGATTTTGTTGAGGATTGTCCTAATTACCAAATCAATCAAGTCTAGTCACATTGTATCTAAGAGGTTTCTCTGCATAACATCTTCTCCCAGGAGCAGAATGAAACAAAGGTGGGTCAGGAGCATAAGCCCAATACAGCTCTCCATTCACCATCAGGACAGAATTCACCATGGTCAGCAGCGGGAACATCCTCCTTCTGGGGAACATCTGCAAATCGCTCCAGCCTTTCTGGGATTCATCTGGCTCCTTCTGCATCCTTTGGAAAAACACAAACATTTCCTCTTCCCCATGTTAATACTGGTTAGAGCCCTGCCATGTTCCAGTAATTGGATCTTTCCACTTAACTTTGGCATACTTATCTTTGGTATTAGGGTGCCACAATCAATCAGCTGCAGAATGGACTTGTATATTCACATCAAAATATTTAAAATAAAGAGAGCATGGTTAATATACTTCTGTGGTGTTTGGGGATGTAACTCACCTTTTTTTAATTTTTGAAATTGGTTCTTAAGAGATCCATGGGCACACTCCTTGACCTTGAGATTATATGGAGTGCCTGTTTTATGACTTATATGCGTTTGCACACAAAAATGCTGAAAAGCTTGATAATGTATGCAGTACCATTATCAGTCTTTATAATAGAAGGAACACCAATTATAGCAAAACATTTTAAACAATGACTTATAACATGTTTGGTGGCTTCTCCTGCTAAGGGAATTGCCATGATAAATCCTGAAAAAGCATCAATTGTTATGTGAACATATCTTAGTTTTCCAAATTTTGGGATATGAGTTATGTCTATTTGTTGTTTAGAATGGTTCCAAACCTAGGTTTTAAGTAGGTTAACTTTATGTTACAGATTTTAAACATACCCAATGACCAATCTATAACCAATCTATAATCTATAACCAAGACATGTTGAATATGGTAAACTTATACATTCAAGACAGACAGACAAAACACCTTGATATTTGTTGAATCTGACTTTTATGACCACATAAGCTTTGTAGCAGAATTAACCATTAGTTTTCTTACTGGAAAAACTGAGAAGCTTCTCTTTCTTTCTTTCTTTCTTTCTTTCTTTCTTTCTTTCTTTCTTTCTTTCTTTCTTGAGTGATTTTAGCTGTAGCTTGACACTGCTCAGCAAATTCTAACTTCCATAACAAATGATCTGCTCTTGCTAAATATTCTATTGCTAATTGCTTCCTGTCCCCTGGGCAGAGAGCCTCCGTAGACTCTAACAGAGCTTGAGTAAAAGATGCTGTAGGACCATATTGAGCAAGTCAGAGCAAAAGCACCTCAGTACAATGAATGGATTCAATTATTTTAATTGTTTAAAAGGTATAGGTGCAATATAATCTTACCATATTACCCTGTCCATCAGGTTGCTCTGGAACTGGAAAACCATAAAACTCAGTTATATCTTCTCCCTTCTGCCTGACCTGTTCTTCCTCAAACTCTGCAAGCTCATCAGGATCTAAGTCATCCTCAAAGTCTTCTCTTAACAAGAAATTATTATCATCAGGAGGGACATATAACTCTTCTGTAGGAGCCAATGGTTTAATCTCATTTTGTCTTGAAACCTCCCATTTTTCTTTCCTCCTTCTCTCTAACCCTGAAAGTTTCACTTTCTCCGTTCCATGCTACATATACAGACTATTTCTAATTAAATTCCATACAAAAAACATGAGGCTACTGCTATGTCCCATTTTTACTCTCAAATTTTACTCATCATGCCCTTTTTACATTATGTTCTGTGCTCACCAACACCCGAAGTGTCCTTCACTGCTTCCCCATCTCAAGGCCCTGTTCAGGCACCAAACTGCCAGAGCCCGCCAGCAAAGTCAAACAGTTCTTGAGTGGAGAGTGAGGATTGAAAGAAAATTAATAAACCAACACACTACAC